AGTTTTTTAACACGTAAATAATTAACTTTACTGAATGATTACTTGTTTGGCATTAAAAGAAGGCTATTCTTGGCTCTTGTAAGAAGGAATGAAAGAGACCAAAAGAGGGTTGGTTTAGATTTCGTGGATAGTTTAAATTTGATATTATAATATTTTATTAAAATAAAATTTATTTCTTGGCATCAAAACGATATAAAGAATAAAAATTTGGTTCACCCACAGATACAGTCTTTCTATAGATAGCTGTGACATATTATTGTGTTGAAGTGTAATTTTTCCGAACTGATAAATAAAATTAATCAGTTAAAATCTAAATTTTAGTGTTTAAAACGTATAAAAATTTTAAATTCAATTATAGTACAGATTTAGTGAGATTTTTTTCCCATACATAGGTCATTTAGTTGACTGGACAGAGAATCATCTGTTTTTATTTAATATTTGGTGAATTGGATAATGACATTAGAATAAAAATTCAGTAAGATATTATCTAGTTAGATTTGAACAAACTATATTAGGAAAGAGGTAAAATAATTTTATTTAATTTTTATCTAATATTTTTTTAAACAATATTACATTTACTATTCATAAGCCAAATTACTAAAATATATTATTTATTTATAACTACTGTTCGCCAACAGGCACCACAATTCTGCGCCCACCACCCATTATCGTCCACTATCATTGATCACCACCATCTACCGCCACTCTTAGTTGGCACCACCATTCACCCTTGCCTTGCCACCATAGTCCATTGCCCCCTTAGTAATCTATCGTTAGCTGTTGTCATATAATGTATACTGTCACTAAGAACAAAAATGGTATTTTGATAAATTACGTATTTATCAGTATTTTATCTAAATTTGAGTTACAAATAAAGTACAATAATTTAAAATACTATATAATTAAGATATTTTATTATGATATTACCCAATTTTGCTATATCAAATCCGATTTAAATGAGTACTAAGTTGTGACGAATTGGAGAATAAAGATCAGTTATATACTTGTATATGCATTTTTTACTGCCTTGACAAGGAGAGAATGAGAGAGAGTATAGCCAACAGTGTGATGATATTGTTTCATGGGCAAATGGAGTAAAGAACAAAAGCAATGCCGGATCATACATATTCCACTGCCAAAGGGGTTGATGATTAAGAACCATAGAATTCCAACTTTTAGATAGGAATGTTTTTTTTATGACTGGGCATAATCAGCGGCACTTGATGCCTCTGCAGTACATCCGAAATGAAAGCTCATTTCTCTCTCCGCATTATCACGTCAGGTCTGAAATCTGGGCCATCAAACAACAGAGTTAAATAGTAAGTGTTTGAATTATAGCATGGAACCCACTAAATCCGTCCAATTTTCTGCGAACGCGAAAAGATTCTTCCAAACATGGCACACACTCGCACAGCTCCGACGTCGTAAATATCCCCCTTAAAAATGACAAGCGTGTGATCTGGCACGGGGAATAATTTTCTTATGCAATTTCGCCCTCTTCTGAAAACAAAAAGGATGTGTAAAATTATGCAAGGGAAATTAAATAAAACATGCCAATAGGTTAAGCAGGCGTACAAGACTTTAAAAGGTATAGGAGGAAACGTTGCGTGGTAGAATTTGGAATCTTATTCCTTTCACAGATCATGCGCTCCTATTTTATTTAGCTTCAGATCAACGGCCAAAAAAGGGATCGGAGACAGTTAGAAGGATCATGGTGAAAGGTCAACCCACCACGCGTTTGGCTGCTTAGAATATTCTATAATTTGTCTAAACTAAAATTTTAACCTTAACAATATGTTATAAAAAAAATAATAAATAAAAAGAGCCAGGGCTTTGTTTCCATTTTAAGCCCAAGGGAGAAGAAGTAAACGAGCGTTTGCAAAAAATTTTCAATGTGATTTTGAATTTTTTAATATATAAAATAATTTTAAAGATATTTTATATTTTATTTATAAATTCTGTTTCTTTTTATTTTAATAAAAGTTAGAATTAGAAATATATTTTAAAAAAAAACGTGGAAGTGATGTTTGAATGATATTATTATAATTAAATAGAAATTATTTAGAACTACATTTTTTTTCAAATTTTTTACTTAAATACAAAGTTAATGCATAAAAAATTTTGGCAAAATTTTTGCTTCTCCTAAAAATATTAAAAAAAATTTCATTCCAAATATCAATTTTATTTCTTTTAAAAATTTTACAATATATTTTATAAATATATTTAATTTTTAATTATAATTCACTTTTATTTTAATATTTAATTTATAATTTTTTTCAAAAATATTTGCTAACATCACCTAAATCCTAGTTAAATACTATTAAATAATTGATTGATTAGTGGGGTAACAGAATAAAAATTTTCTAGAACGCTGCTCCACGTGTCAAGTATGTTATGGTGCTGCCCGGCATCAACAAGGCAACGGAGCTTTTCCGCGAGCCACACGCCGCTGGAGTCCCTGCCATGCCAACTGCAGCAACACTGGCGGTTTCATTGTATTCTGAGCCAAAACAATTTTTTTTTAAAAAATATAAATAATTAGTATATAAAATTTTTTCTTTTGATTTTTTTGGTAAAAAGTTTATCAACTTATAAAATTAATTACCCCCTTATATTGGGAAGATCTTGGACTACGTGATTTAAATAGTATTAAGTATAAACATGAGTAGTTCAATCTCAAATTATCTCAGCCATAGAAATAATCTCTTACATCTGATCAAAACTCAATTAGATTCTTCTCGCTCTTTTCTTTAATTTACGCATAAATAAATAAGAAGAAAAGGGGAATCATCTCCTTCTCCAGGAAAAGAAGACGCGTGTAATTATTATTTAATTGCGCCGCGTCCACTCCTCCTCATCTAATGATGCGAACAAATCACATCCATTTCACGGAGCATGTGAAGCTGTTTGGCAACGTCTTGGGATTAAATCTTGGCTGCACCGACGTCAAAATAGGTATATTTAAGGAATAATAAAATGAGAAAATGAAAAAGAAAAAGAGGATGAATGGTGCAAGGCTTCCTCCTGGGCATTAAACTAAAAGAAAATGCCGAGTCCGAGCGAACCGTCATCGTGTCTGACCGGAATTAATAGTAAAGCGGTTGGCTGGTTCTTTGTTTGGTTTTTTATTGTTGGTCTTGATTAGCTTGTCGCTCTTCTTCTCCCATGGACCGAGATGAGATAAAAACCCAAATTAATAACAACGAAAGATCTTTTCTCGTCGGAAGTAGGATTGGAAATAATTCTGCTTTTATGCTTAGAAAAATCTACTTGATTTTTTTAAATCAAAGAATTAAAATAGCATTACAAAAAATTATTATATATTTCCAAAGAATCTAATTTAAATTTAATCTAAATTTTAAAATTTAAATTTGATTAAAATATTCGATATATTAGATTCGATAATAAATATTTGTAATATAAAATAAATAAATCAGATCTCAAATTAAGTAATTCGATCTACTAAATAATTAAATTTGAATTTTAGTAATATTTTTTATTAAATTAATAATCTTATATATGTAATATTAATAAAATTAAAATTATAATGATTAAATTGAGAAAATTTAAAAATTAAAGAATAAATATAATTGATAGAATAAAGTTAAAAAATTTAAATACAAAAAATATTTTTTAATTAAATTTCAGATTATCTATCAAATTTGAATATGATCTATTAAATATATATTTTGTAATATTTTGAATTATATTCATATATAAAAATGACTAATCAAATTCAGATTTAGATTTTAGTGAGATGATACAAATCTGATTTGTTTATAATATTGAAATGGCGTGTATTTTGTATTTTTGTTAACTCAATATTTATCATTTTAATATTTTTTTTATAATACGTTATTGTTCTTGAAACCATTATAAACACAAAAATACATAAAATGGGAGCGGAGATTTTAATTTTTAATAAATACAGGGAGTTGAGATAGGTGAACTGAATTACACGGTTGGTGGAAATAATATCTGAACAGAGGACGGAGGGCCCGACCCGCTGGCCATGGCACTGGACCGATGGTGCAACTGACAGGATTCTTATAAACAAGGCAACTATGGCCAGATAACTCAAACGAGACGCCTTGACTGGACCCGCTCCGGAACGGAACAGTCAAACAACGTATTCCTCGTCAAAGTTGTATAATTATCCCAGATGCTATTATTATTTACCAGTTTTACCTTGCAATCCCGTTCTGCATGCAAATTACGCAATCCAAAAAGGATTTTCCACTTGATTTTAAGGTAATTAAGTTGAAATATGTTAATTAAAATTTTTAATACTCTAAAATAAATTTCGTTTTTTAGAAAATGCCCTAAAACTCACTCGAACTATTTATTAATAAATCCCTGATGGCTTTTTAATATAAATTTTTATAAAAATATTTTATAATTTTAAAAATTTATTTTGAAGTTTGAAGAATTTATTTTAAATATTCTGTAAATTTTTATATTTCTTTTGAAACATAATTCCTTGGCACTTCTGGCGTTTTCAATTTTTCACTGCCGATTTATTATATGTAGGTTAAAAAAAAAAAAAGGAGTACCGAAGAAAATCAACAGATACATTATTTGACTCTGATTTCTTATAGGACTTGCGGTCCCGTGAGACTCTTAAAAATATAATTGCCTGAAAAAAATATCTGAGTGCCGCCCCGTGGGTCAGACAGGCCTCTGTGACTGCCCGCTTCTGACACGGTCAACTGCCCGCTCTCCAATCAATGGGCAGCTCCAAACTCCAACACCCCCTCAACCCCCTCTCCCTCCCTCCTCCTCCTCTCTCTCTCTCCCTCTCTATTTGAGAGGAGAGACTGCTTAAATGCTAACTTTACCTTTAAGCCGTCGACGCCATCACCATCACCGCGACCTCCACTCTGGGGAAGGTGGTGAATGACCAGGGTGGAGTGTCTCCGTCTTCATTCAATAGGGCGGCCTTAGTTATATAACAGGTATAAATATATATAGCGAGGGAGAGAATATTGTGGAGGGGAGTGATGGGTCAGGGACTCGGTTGTACGGCCAATTACGAGCAGGGTCTCTTCATTGCTGCTCAATTTGGGGATTTGGAAACGGTGGAGGCTCTGCTGGAGAGAGACCCAATTCTCATCCACCAGACCACGGTGTACGATCGCCACTCTGCCCTTCACATAGCAGCTGCCAATGGGCAGATCGAGGTGGGTTCTTCAACCTTTCTTGCTTTCTTGTATGAATTTAAAGGTTTTTGGGTTAATTTTGATGGGCTGTGGTTAACGGTCTTTTCGTGTTTTCTTCCTCCATTTCAGATTGTTTCTATGCTATTGGACAAATCTGTTAAGCCAGATTTGTTGAATCGTAATAAGCAGGTAAGGTTTGCGTTAATGTCTGATTGAGTAGCCGGCAAATTGTTGGAGATGTTCTGAAAATTTTCGTAATATCTTGCCTACAATTTGTATTTTCTTATAATATTGGTTGGTGGGAATCTTGCAGACTCCGCTTATGTTGGCCGCGATGCATGGGAGGATTTCTTGTGTGAAAAAGCTTATTGAAGCTGGAGCTAATGTATGTTTAATCTCCATCTTCCTATCTCCCTCACTTTCTCTGTACTTGTTCTGCCAATTGACGTGGCTTATCTATTTCTTTTTCTTTTCTCAGATATTGATGTTTGATTCCAGTCACGGAAGAACCTGCTTGCACTATGCTGCTTACTATGGCCATTCAGATTGCCTTCAAGCCATACTTTCTGCTGCCCGCACGTCCCACGTTGCTGCTTCTTGGTGGGTCTCTCTCTCACGCAGAATTAGACGCTTTTATGGGTGGATTTGTTTTTGGAAGATTCTAACTGCCTATTATGTCTACTGAATTTGAATTGCAGGGGTTACGCAAGGTTTGTGAATGTTAGGGATGGTAAAGGGGCAACCCCTTTGCACCTGGCAGCCCGTCAAAGAAAACCGGAATGTGTTCATATTCTTCTAGACAACGGAGCTCTTGTCTGTGCTTCAACTGGCGGATACGGGTAAATAATATGATCATTTTCCTTTGTTATACAATTTTTGGGTCTGAATTGTTCCTCAAAGTTGATAAGAATTCTTCATTACAGCTTCTCTGGAAGCACTCCCCTTCATCTGGCTGCGAGAGGGGGTTCTCTGGATTGCATCCGGGCATTATTAGCCTGGGGCGCGGATCGACTTCAAAGAGATCAGTCTGGGTACTGCTCGATTTCCGAACATATTAATTCACATCTAAGTTAATTGTTATTTGTTTTGAATTAATTAATTGGAAGTATGAAGCTTCTATATTTTTATTTCTTCCCGTATAATCTGGAAATGGTTAAATCAAAACTAATTTATAAATGATTTTAGAAGGCCACAATGCTAATCAGCATCTTGTCGCAGGATGAAGAGCACTTTTATTCCCCGATATATTTTCTAACAGCTGGTTGAATCTGAATCTGAATTTAAATAGAAAATTTGGCATTTCCCACTTGTCAGTGTGAACTAATTTTTAAATATCCTTGGATAGTTGGTGAAATGATTTTTTTTTTTTTTTGAATTTTCCTTTTGTTTTCCCCTAAATTTAATCATGTGTATGGTGCAGGAGAATACCATATCTAGTTGCTTTGAAGCACAAGCACGGAGCATGTGCGGCACTGCTGAATCCTTCATCAGCAGAGCCTCTTGTATGGCCATCACCATTGAAGTTCATTAGTGAGCTTAATGCAGAGGCAAAAGCTCTGTTAGAAAATGCCTTAATGGAGGCTAACAGGGACAGAGAGAAGAACATCTTGAAGGGGACAGCGTACACGCTTCCTTCCCCATCACATTCTGATGTTGGGACGGATGATAATATATCTGAGGTAATATTTTTTACTAACGGGTATTTAAATTCTTCTCCTTTTTTTTCTCCTCTCTTTAATTTGAAAAGAAGTTATTCAAATTCCTGTTGATATTTGAACTATTTGGCATCCACCTACCCCAGAAATTCCCGAACAGGGACATAGTTGAATTTGTCAAATCTGAAATCTTGTTCCTTGAAATCTTAGAACCATTGCTGTTAAACATTCACACTGATTGGAGATAGTCAAATTTGTTGTCCATTCCTATTTGTTGACTGGTGATGGCAACTGGCCTTTGTGGAAAGTCTATGCCTAGCTACCATTCTTTGGATTTTTGCACGAGTTTGTCTTTCTTTACATGTTCTGTTGTAAAATTACTTTATAATAGGGTTTACGGTCATATTTGGACAAATATTTCTTCTCCAAAGCTAAAATTCAATTGTTTCTATTCACATTAGGCTGCCAGTTCGGTGATCACCACAATAAAATTAAGTCTTGCTATTTAAGAAGCTTCCTTATCATATGAAAGTGGTAAATTTGTCTACTCTGGAATCTTCCATTGCTGGCAAAAACATTGAGATTTTGCGAAATTGTGTTAAAATTTTGTTTTTTTGGTTCAATCATTTTTCGATTTGGTCTTCCATGGTTACTGCTATATGGTGAACCATTCTAAATTTTCACGCTTTAACAGTGATCATTTCCTCTACATGCAGATTAGTGACACTGAGTTGTGCTGCATATGCTTTGATCAAGTGTGCACGATTGAAGTCCAGGACTGCGGCCACCAGATGTGCGCGCAATGCACGCTAGCCTTGTGCTGTCACAACAAGCCCAACCCAACCAACGCGAGCATCATTGCACCTGTTTGCCCCTTCTGCCGGAGTAGCATTGCCCAACTGGTGGTCGCTAAGGTCAAGAATGCAAATCACAATGACCCTGACCACCATGATACCACGGCCTCCTCAAAGCTCAGGAGGTCAAGAAGGTCTTGCAACCTCAGCGATGGTGGCGGTGGCGGCAGCAGCAGCTTCAAGAGTCTGTCTGCCATGGGTTCTTTCGGCAAAATGGGCCGGGGGTCGGGTCGGTTCACTGCTGAAAATGAGTTAGTGGACAAGCCTTGAGGGCCACTCTTGGGAATGTGTAGATAGGTGTCTCAATTATATATGCGTTGTAGAACTGTGGAAATCAATAAGTGAAGAATTGATTTGCAGGTTTGGTTTGGAGTGATTGTTTGTGTAGGGTCATATTGAAGTGTTCCTGGTTTACTTCTGCTTGAAGGAGTGGATGCTATTGAGAGCCTGTTAGTTACCAGGGATAATAATTCTCTATTTTTTGGCCTATTTCCTTTTCTGCCAAGTGAAATGTCCAAATTCAGTAGTCTTGTAAGAAATGCAAAGTGTCGCTTGGAAATAGTCAAAGTTGTCTATTTGAGGGTTGGCCCAATTACTCTTACCTTGACTTTTATTTTTGTGTATAATATAATTTTGGGAAAGAGAGAAGTGTGGTCCCCTTGACTCTCCGATCTCCATTATTAAGTCCACTTATTTTATTGTTAAAAGAGACAGATTTATTTATTTTTCTATTAAGAAATTTCTACCGGAAAGTAAGGACTTCATGGCTGATGACGGTGTTGAACTTGACGGCGTTGAAGATGATGATTTATATTTTAAACCCCGTGCGCAATGGTGAAGATGCACCAAAGCTATTAGAAAAGAAACAAGGTGTCAGTAATTAAATTTTTAATTTTTAATAATTTTTATAAATGTTTTATCAGTTAAATTAAATTTTGAAATGAAGTATTCACGGTACTTATGAAAATGATTTTTTTCTGAAAAATATTATTATTATTATAGTAATTTTTCGAATCATTCTAGGAAATATATTCTGTGACCCACGTTTAAATTTGAAATTAAAAAGCAGAAAAGGATAAGCATAATGCTAATATTAAAAATGATTTAGCAAGGGCTATTTAGGAATTGTTGGATCATCGATGATGTTTGGATTGGAGGACTACTTGCAGTTATACTCCCATTCAATGTATTCAACAACTTCAAATATTATTTTTCAACTTATCGATGATATTATTTATAATAAAAGACTTTTTAAAATATTTTTAAAAAATTTATATTTAATATTAGAAACTAATTCAGTGAATTAATAATTTTAATAAATATTAAATAAATATAAAATATTAATTTTAATTTAATAAATATTAATATTATTTACAAAATCAGAAGGTAAAATAAAATAAATTGATTTCCATGCAACGGTCTTTACTGGTGCAGATTGCCATGTGATTGTGCCTGGTACCCTTTTAATGGATTGTGTACCTTTCCCCGCAAGGGGACAGGAGACAAGGATTTGAGTGATCCTCTTTTTATTTAATTTCAATTTTTTGAACAGTATTTAATAAAATATTTAAAATATAATTTCAGACCTAAACAACAAGAGATAATTTTTGTTATTTCATGAAAAGTTGTTTTCTTGAGTGTAGGACAGAGGAACCATGCCATTTTTCACGATCTTGACACGTGCATTCGGATACCCAGGACGCCATGAAGCATGTTACCATGTCATGACGATGGGAAGAGAAGCCGACGCGAAAAGGATTTGGGCCTAGAAAGGGCCTTTTGGCTAAAACTTGATTGGAGGGGGCCCAACACTGTTGGCCTTTTGTATTTTCCGTGAAAGGGAATAGGGATCTGAGCGACAACCTTCACCAGTCGCCAACCGCTACGCTTTTGCACGGCGAGAACTGCCAAAAAATCTTGCAAAATTTACGAGGCCATTTACGAATTTTTCTGAAAATAGGGACCAAATTGCCCCACTCGCCTCTGAACATATGTACGCCTTTCTTGACTTTGCTCCTCTAGTCGCCCACCGCAGCTGGCGTCATTTTTTGTCTTTACATAACAGTGGGATTGGCAGTGCCCCTTCGACGTGAGCCCACGTGGCGATGATGATCGAGATTGTACGGTCATGATCCCCTTTACGTGACCCAGAGTTGATTATGACGAGGCTGCTGGACTCTCGGGGAAAAGTATACACGCCCAACCTTCAATTTAGAGCGTTAGTGTATTAAATTTTAATTTTAATTTAATTTTAATTTAATTTAAATTTGATTAAAATATTTAAAAAATTAGATTTATTTAAATATTTATAATTTAAAATAAATAAATCAAATATGAAATTAAATAATTAAATTTGTTAAAAATTTAAATTTAAATTTTAATAATATTTTTATTAAATTAATAGTCTTATATACAATATTAAAAAATTAAAATTTGTAAGAATTAAATTAGAAAAATTGAAAAATTGAGAGAACAAAATAATTAACAGAATAGAGTCGAGGAGTTTAAGTACTTTTGAGTTTGGAGATATGTTTTTTCTTTTCATTTTTTATTTCTCCTTTCTGAAAATAGTTTTCATTTTATAGGTTTTCAAATTTAGAAAACATCCTTGGTTTGGTTTACTATTTCCTATTTTTAAAAAATGAAAACAAAAAAAAAAAGTTTGGTTAACCCATTTTAAAAAAATTGAAAATGAGGACTTGTTGAATGGGATTAAAGTTTTAAGATTTTTGACAGGATTATAATTGAATAAATTATAAATTTTAGAGTTTAAAAATGAAAATTAAAGAGTTTGAGGACAATATTTGAGTAATAGAGAAGAGATGAGAGACTAAAATGTAATTACACAAAAATTACTACAATATTATCCCCTACCTCCAATGAGTCATGATGGGTGTAATAAACATGATTGTAACCTAATTCAAAATCTGCTGCTATTTTGACTTTTTACCAAAAATTTTTATAGTGATTCTACTTTGTGACATCTGATTAGCAAAACTCCCACATTAATTTGAAGAACCAAGGATCAATCAGTTGGTGAAATCAAGATGAAGGCTTCTATTGTAATTGTCGTTGCTTTGCTTGGTCAGGTTCTTCTTCTCGGCAACTACTGCTAGCATCAACAACGTCCTGCAGGAGTCCAATGATGTTATTGACAAAGTCCTTTGCGCCCATTTCCTCCTAGACTACTTTGGGCGAATCAAGTTGAAAACTATGCAGGAGAACACCCAATTGATCACCTCCATTTTCTAGACCACAACGATGAAGCAATTGGAAGAGCTTGAAGTTGGCTAAGCACAATGACAATGGTTGAGAGACTCTTGGTGATGAAGAAGAAAGCCAAATTGAATAATGAAGGCGGTGGAGAAGTGTTGAAGGTGACGGAGAAGGCTTGGTTTCAGCCATGGGAGGAGAAGGAACAGTGCGTGAAATAAGTAATATAAGAGAAACAATAAAAATAGATATAATTATAAGTTTGTCACCGCATTTTAAGTTTTCTAAGAAAATGTTAAAAACAACTTTTTGTTATTTTTAATTTTCTATTCCTTTTCAAAAAATGTTATGTAAATATAAAAATAGACAGTTGATACCATAAATATTTTCTTGCTCGTTTTCTATTTTCATTAAAAAAGTAAAAGAATATTATTTTTTTTGAATTTTAAATTATTCAGATATAGTTTTATAAACATAAATCTTATAACATTTTGAATCGAATTCAAATGCAGAAATAAATAATCAAATTTTAACTTAAATTTACTTAATTTTATTCAAATCTAACCTGTTTAAAACTCTACTTAAATTCAAACATGACACTATAGCAAATTAACAATTAACCCCTCGGAAAAATGACCCTCGCTGGAATTCGTTAATGCCCGTTAGTTTTCTGTTCTGCTCCTTTCTGGTGGGGCATTATTTTTATTAGATAAAAAGAATGGTCACGGATGAAAAATATCCAAAACAGATGGCACTGTTGGAACCAAAAGATTGATGTGTTGAAAATTCAATTTTAACTGAAACAATTGACAATTCACATGAACTTGGTCACCTTGTGGAATACGGCAAGAGAATGGCCTATTGCTATAAAATTTTTGAAATTACGAAAAGAGTCACATGAAAACATACATGCACAGTAAGACCCAATGGCCACCAAGGAAGGCCACCCTCGGAAAACTGTGTCTGGACATCGAATTTGTCAAGCAAAAAGAAATAAGAATGAAAAATTAAATATACGATTTTCATTTTTTTGAATTATATTCATTTTTTTCCTTACAATTTTTATCCTCACTTTCTCTTACTTTTCGCTTTTACTTTCTGATGTTTGAATATAGTAGATAAGAAGCTATTGTACATTTATATCATGGATTGGAAGTAGAGGTGAAAAAAAAGTTAGGATAAGAGTTAAAAAAGCTAACATTATTTCATAAATCATATTTTAGAGTTTGATTTGTAATTTATGAAGGGTTGCTATACTAGATTTTACTATATTAGTAATGTTTAATTTGACTTATTAATTTATTAAGTTAAAATAATCAAACTTAAAAAGATTTTAAATAAGTTAACAAGTTAAAAAATTTATTAAATTCTTATAATTATATAGGTCTCAATTTATACGAGATTATAAAGTTTGCCTTCATTGAGTTTTATAATAAATTATTGAAAAATCATACACATAATATATATTATATATTAGATCAAACATGTATATAATAAGAGTTGTGCTTGAAAATTAATATCCCATGACAAAATTTAACAATTCAAACTTTTTTATTAGACAAACCATATTTTTAGTCTAAACCTAATTTGATTAGTTAAACAAATCAGATCAAATTAAGCGTAAATAAATTTAGTCATAAGCAATTTGTGAGTGTTTTCTAGTCTGATTATAATTTTATATAAACTTTTAAAATTATAGATTTATGTTTTAGCACAGCAATAATTACTTTGTTTCAAAATGATCTATGTAAATTTCGGGTTACTTTTCTAGAAGCGTACAGCTGGCAGTGCATGGCGGCTTGTACTGGAAAAGGACCAAATCAATTCCACCTTGTAAACCTTTATTTTCCATTTTCTAAAATTGTTTGGTTGTTGAATGGAATTTGGTGGACAAATCCACATTAACCTATCCCAGGTCTAATGGAAACGCAAATAGCATAGCCCAACTAAATTTCCATGATTTTAGTTCAGGACAAGCTACTGCTTTGACATAAGCTATCCATCTCAAAGATCAAAGGCTAGGTTAGGCCAGCTTAATGTTTATTTAATTAATTATT